TCCGCAGCGCTGCAGCCTCCGTCCTCGCAGTCGCTGTTGGCCATCAGGTCGATGAGCCGCTCCAGCTGCGGGCTGAGCTCCCGCTCCTCGCTCTCGTCCAGACCCCAGTCCAGTGCGCGGTAGATGGCGAAGCCCAGAGACTGCACCATCTGTGGGACAGGGGTCCAGACCATCAGGGGGCAGTAGGGGGGTGGGGGGAGGGCACCACCGGAGAGGGACCGGAGGCTGGGCCTGAATCGCAGGCTGACAGTGCCATGGAAGCAGCCATGTCCTCCACAGGTGGTGTACCATGGGGCCACCAGAACAAGACCCTGGCCCCCCAAATAGCTCAGCCACAGTGGAAAACATTGGCCAGTTCTTACAATCAAACATGCATTTACCACGTGATCGGCAACCCGTCTCCCAGACGTTTAACCAAGAGAAGGAAGAACAAGCATCCACAACGCCTCGTCCTGGGATGCCCACAGCGCCCACGCCTGGGTGTCCAACCGTCTCCCACGGTGGACGGCACACAAATGCGGCCCCTTCTCATAGTGAAAGCGGAGACCGCTGCGCCCCTCACACCCCACACGCAGAGTGGGGCCGGCCCAAAGTCTCCGCGGTGCGTGGTTCCCTGATATCAAACTCGAGGCAAGATAAGTTTCCTCTGTAGCCACAAAAAGCAGGCCAGTGGTTCTGAGCCGGGCTGGGCTGGGGACTGGAGGGGGACAGGAAGTTCGGGTGATGGAAGAGGTCTGTGTCCTTGTGGTGAAATGGTAGGTACCTCTGTCAGAACCCGTCAAACTCGAGTGTAAAGTACACCCCCAAGAATTCGATTACAAAAGACAGTGGCATCCTAATTACGTGTTATCCCTTTCGTGTAATAGAACAGTACACTGTAAGTCTGAGAAAGACCAGCTGACTGACGCACGCTGCTGGAATAAACCCCTTAGCTCTGCGTGATAAAGTCTGGCACTTGCACTGATAAGAGATGACCTCCTCACTGAAGTATTTTAAACTGCATGTAAATGTCAATGTGTGTAAATTTTGCCTGAAAAAGAAAAACCTAAGAAAGAATCGTATTTGTAACTGGTTATAACTGTCAGAGCCCCAAGCTGGGATTCACAAAGCTTTCTGTTTTTTGGTTTGTTTGTTTTTGTGTGTTTTTTTAAATATATTTTATTGGTTTTTTACAGAGAGGAAGGGAGAGGGATAGAGAGTTAGAAACATCGATGAGAGAGAAACATCCATCAGCTGCCTCCTGCACATCTCCTACTGGGGATGTGCCCGCAACCAAGGTACATGCCCTTGGCTGGAATCGAACCTGGGACTCTTCAGTCCGCAGGCCGACGCTCTATCCACTGAGCCAAACCGGTTAGGGCATCTTTTTGCTTTTTAAATTGCAATTAGCACATTAAAAATCCGTAAGCTAAGGCGTGGCTCAGAGGTTGACCTCCTATGAACCAGGAGGTCCCGGTTGGATTCCCGGTCGGGGCACATGCCCAGATTGGGGCTGTGGGCTCCATCCCCAGTAGGGGGTGTGCAGGAGGCAGCCAATCAATGATTCTCTTCCACCATTGATGTTTCTATCTATCCCTCTCCTTCCTCTCTCTCTAAAGAAAATCAATTTTTTTTAAAAAAAGGACAACAGCTCTGCTTATGCTGGGCACTGCGCTGAGCTGGCTGCCACCTAACTTTGCAACAAAGCACCAGTAACCTCCCGTGTCATAGGGCGGGCACAGAGGCACGGAGGCCAGGTCCCTTGCCTGCAGCTAGCTGCTGGCCGAGCTGGACTTGAGACTCTGGTCTGCCCGTGGCCTGGAGGAAGGCTGCGTGGTGGCAGGTGGAGCCTGGCCCTCACCAGGGCACCTTCCACTCCCCGACCATCTGGCCTCAGAGGACCCCCTGGCTCTCCTCTCACTTCCTGCCTTCCCACCACCCGGCACCCAGGAGCTGAGCAGAGCTGAGCTAAGGAGGGCAGACGGTGAGCGCCAGCATCGAGCAGGGGACGGGTGCGAGAACAGGGCTCTCTGTCTTGCAGACAGGCCTTAGAGAGCACCCTGGACCCGGAGGGTGCCTGGGGGGTTAGCCAGGCTCAGGGACTGGTGGGAAGGGAAGGCTCCAGCCCAGAGGATCATGGATCGGCCGCCCCAGCCAGTCCTGGAGGCTGTCTCACCTCTGCTGTAGGCAGGCGGGGTCACAGACCAGCTTGAGTCACACCCGAGAACCACGAGTCAAAGGGTAGAGCCCAAGGCCTACAGGCTGCTGACACCTGACAGGTAACTGCAGGGCCCTGGCCAGGGGAGCCCCCAGGGCAGTAGGCCAGAGGACCCCCTTGTGCCCCTCAGGATGACTTGGTGGGCAGGAGCCACCATTTATTTATTTATTTTTTAGAGAGAGAGGAAGGGAGAGGGAGAGAGAGAGAAACATCAATGAGAGAGAAACATCATTGAGTGGCTGCCTCCTGCACGCCCCCTACTGGGGGTCAAGCCTGAAACCCGGCCATGTGCCCTGACTGGGAATCGAATCGGTGACCTCTTGGTTCATGGGTCAACGCTCAACCACTGAGCTACACCGGCTGGGCCAGAAGCCACCACTCACACCAATTCCCATCAAGTCTTTCTTGGCCCAGAGGTAGGTGCCAGGAATAAACTTCATGTCTGTCCACTCTGGGTCTGCCCCCCGGGCCCTGCTGACCCTAGTGGTGGCTCTGACCAGGTCTGTCCAATGGGGACCACTCTGCCACAGGGGGCAGGACAGACAGAGGCCAAACAGAAAGGTCCTCACCCCCAACACAGCACAGCGCCCCGCCATGGGGCCTCCCCCTCACTGTCCAGGCGGCAGCCTCCGCTAGCACCACGTCACTGGAAGGGTTAACTCCATCAAAGCACTCATCTGAGAGCTGCTCCTAAAAGCTTCTCTGTGCCCCATGCACCTGGAAGGCAGGCACTTGCTTTCCCATAAGGAGAAATCTGGGCAGCCAGCCAGAGTCCCAGGACCTCCAGCCCTGCCTGCGGGCGGCGGGCCAGCCGGGGGAAAGTCTCCGCGGCTCGTGGTTCCCCGATATCAAACTCGAGGCAAGATAAGTTTCCTCTGTAGCCACAAAAAGCAGGCCAGTGGTTCTGAGCCGGGCTGGGCTGGGGACTGGAGGGGGACAGGAAGTTCGGGTGATGGAAGAGGTCTGTGTCCTTGTGGTGAAATGGTAGGTACCTCTGTCAGAACCCGTCAAACTCGAGTGTAAAGTACACCCCCAAGAATTCGATTACAAAAGACAGTGGCATCCTAATTACGTGTTATCCCTTTCGTGTAATAGAACAGTACACTGTAAGTCTGAGAAAGACCAGCTGACTGACGCACGCTGCTGGAATAAACCCCTTAGCTCTGCGTGATAAAGTCTGGCACTTGCACTGATAAGAGATGACCTCCTCACTGAAGTATTTTAAACTGCATGTAAATGTCAATGTGTGTAAATTTTGCCTGAAAAAGAAAAACCTAAGAAAGAATCGTATTTGTAACTGGTTATAACTGTCAGAGCCCCAAGCTGGGATTCACAAAGCTTTCTGTTTTTTGGTTTGTTTGTTTTTGTGTGTTTTTTTAAATATATTTTATTGGTTTTTTACAGAGAGGAAGGGAGAGGGATAGAGAGTTAGAAACATCGATGAGAGAGAAACATCCATCAGCTGCCTCCTGCACACCCCCTACTGGGGATGTGCCCGCAACCAAGGTACATGCCCTTGGCTGGAATCGAACCTGGGACTCTTCAGTCCGCAGGCCGACGCTCTATCCACTGAGCCAAACCGGTTAGGGCATCTTTTTGCTTTTTAAATTGCAATTAGCACATTAAAAATCCGTAAGCTAAGGCGTGGCTCAGAGGTTGACCTCCTATGAACCAGGAGGTCCCGGTTGGATTCCCGGTCGGGGCACATGCCCAGATTGGGGCTGTGGGCTCCATCCCCAGTAGGGGGTGTGCAGGAGGCAGCCAATCAATGATTCTCTTCCACCATTGATGTTTCTATCTATCCCTCTCCTTCCTCTCTCTCTAAAGAAAATCAATTTTTTTAAAAAAAAGGACAACAGCTCTGCTTATGCTGGGCACTGCGCTGAGCTGGCTGCCACCTAACTTTGCAACAAAGCACCAGTAACCTCCCGTGTCATAGGGCGGGCACAGAGGCACGGAGGCCAGGTCCCTTGCCTGCAGCTAGCTGCTGGCCGAGCTGGACTTGAGACTCTGGTCTGCCCGTGGCCTGGAGGAAGGCTGCGTGGTGGCAGGTGGAGCCTGGCCCTCACCAGGGCACCTTCCACTCCCCGACCATCTGGCCTCAGAGGACCCCCTGGCTCTCCTCTCACTTCCTGCCTTCCCACCACCCGGCACCCAGGAGCTGAGCAGAGCTGAGCTAAGGAGGGCAGACGGTGAGCGCCAGCATCGAGCAGGGGACGGGTACGAGAACAGGGCTCTCTGTCTTGCAGACAGGCCTTAGAGAGCACCCTGGACCCGGAGGGTGCCTGGGGGGTTAGCCAGGCTCAGGGACTGGTGGGAAGGGAAGGCTCCAGCCCAGAGGATCATGGATCGGCCGCCCCAGCCAGTCCTGGAGGCTGTCTCACCTCTGCTGTAGGCAGGCGGGGTCACAGACCAGCTTGAGTCACACCCGAGAACCACGAGTCAAAGGGTAGAGCCCAAGGCCTACAGGCTGCTGACACCTGACAGGTAACTGCAGGGCCCTGGCCAGGGGAGCCCCCAGGGCAGTAGGCCAGAGGACCCCCTTGTGCCCCTCAGGATGACTTGGTGGGCAGGAGCCACCATTTATTTATTTATTTTTTAGAGAGAGAGGAAGGGAGAGGGAGAGAGAGAGAAACATCAATGAGAGAGAAACATCATTGAGTGGCTGCCTCCTGCACGCCCCCTACTGGGGGTCAAGCCTGAAACCCGGCCATGTGCCCTGACTGGGAATCGAATCGGTGACCTCTTGGTTCATGGGTCAACGCTCAACCACTGAGCTACACCGGCTGGGCCAGAAGCCACCACTCACACCAATTCCCATCAAGTCTTTCTTGGCCCAGAGGTAGGTGCCAGGAATAAACTTCATGTCTGTCCACTCTGGGTCTGCCCCCCGGGCCCTGCTGACCCTAGTGGTGGCTCTGACCAGGTCTGTCCAATGGGGACCACTCTGCCACAGGGGGCAGGACAGACAGAGGCCAAACAGAAAGGTCCTCACCCCCAACACAGCACAGCGCCCCGCCATGGGGCCTCCCCCTCACTGTCCAGGCGGCAGCCTCCGCTAGCACCACGTCACTGGAAGGGTTAACTCCATCAAAGCACTCATCTGAGAGCTGCTCCTAAAAGCTTCTCTGTGCCCCATGCACCTGGAAGGCAGGCACTTGCTTTCCCATAAGGAGAAATCTGGGCAGCCAGCCAGAGTCCCAGGACCTCCAGCCCTGCCTGCGGGCGGCGGGCCAGCCGGGGGGCCAGCCCAGTAATGGAAGGAGCCACGGAGAGAAGGAGCTGACGCTGCAGGCCGGCTCCGGGAGCCGCAGTGAGAATCAGGGCCAACATGACAAGTGTGCCCCTGGCCGCGTTTCCTGGGTGGGTATCGGGTTAATCTATGGGCCCCAGGCACAACCCTCCAGATTAGACACCCCTACAAGTCCCTTGTAAAAAGCTGCAGAATTGATAACCATAGGTCTCCTTTGCAGGGGCCGGTGTGGACCGGAGGGACAGCCCTGGGGACACGGCTGAGGGCTGAGGGGTGCAGAGGGCTGAGGGGTGCCCCGTTCCTGGGCTGCAGATAAGCACCTTATACAGAGCATCATGGGGCGCGAAGGGGACCGAGAGCCATGCGAAGCAGTGGAGATGAGTCTTGAAAACAGATTGTTGTTTCCCCCCACAAACTCCAGAAAACTGTACAGGATGGGGCAAAGTAGGCTTACAGTCGTTCGTATGGAAAATAATACAACAATTAATAATAATAACACAAGGATAAACTGTGTGTGCTTACAACGGTAAACCCACTTTTGCCCACCTGGTTCGTAGGCAGCACAGAACTCGGAGCAGCCCCAGCGACACTGTTTACGCAGCCAAGGGCGGACCTGCTCACCGACATTACTGAGAGCCGCCAGCAGCTTTGGGATGGTTTTGTTATTGTTTTTAAATTCTCCACAACAGAGGATGTAGCCTCTTTCGGCCTGAGCCACCACCCCCCTCCGCTTAGTACAAAGCTGTGTTTAATAGAGGAATGTGTATTTGCATAAAACTGGTTTTTAAAAGGCAGCGGAATGATAAACATCAAATTCAGGACAAATTACCTGGGGGCAGGTCACTGGGGGGCACAGGGAGAAGTCCTACTGCTGAGGTGTGAGTTCTGGGGGGTGTGGGGGCTCCTGGGCATTGCTCACGCAGCTGGTTTTCCTCCGTGGCCCCGACCCGCACCCTGCCAGACGCTCTCTGGGCCCCCAAACATCACGCCACCTTTGCTTTCTCAGGAGGTGGAAGGAGAGGGGGTAGCTATCATGGCTTCCCCCTCCCTTTAGGGCCATTGAGGCTCACTGGGGCCCACACCATCGCAGGCCCCCCGCCCCCCAAACCTCTGGGAAAAATCTCCCTCAGGTCCCTTCAATGAAGGCCCTAGAGAACTGTATCTGTGTCCTGTCCCCCAAATCAATGGTATAACTAACTACATGTTTTCTAATTCATACTATACAATGCACGTACACTTTAATATGTATCAAGTAAACGTAAAAATTGCTCTGAAAGTACCTGGGCTTCTGAACTGGCCGGTGACACCACCATCATTGTGGGCTCTGCAAGAGAGAACAGGCAGTCAGGACAGGCCTCACCCCTCTGACCCCAGGAACGAGGAACGGGTGCCCAGCCACCTTCCCCTGGGGAACAGACAGCCCAAACCCTCCGTTCCCACAGCAGGGAGCTCACAGCGGGCAGGGCCATGGCCATTTGGCCATTTGGAAAGACCCTGTAAGACCCAGCCATGAGCTGGATGCCCAGGTGAGGGGCCAGGACAGCAGGGCAGCCCCTGCCCACTCCAGGTGTGGAGCCGAGCCGGACGCTCCCAAATCACAGCAGAGCTCCTGGCTGCCGAGCTGGGTAAGGGCATCAGTCACCGCTCTGGATCTGGGATGTTTGCCCCAAGCTGTCCCAGCTAGGAAGTGGAGGTGCAGGGGAGCTGCAGCCGCCCCTCTCCCTCTCCCCACAGGGCCTCCCAGGATACCGGCTGGATGAGACTGGACCCAACGCTCCCACAGCCTTCCTTGAACTCGGCAGGTAGAGCTGCATTAGATGGAGGTCAGCTGCCTGACATTCCTTCTGGAATGAGGGGGATGTAAACACACCAACCATGAAGCTGTCTGCTAAGTGAACCTGCTAACTACGCAAATATTTTCAAGATGCCGTCAAGCGCCAGGAAGATCGCCAAGATAAAGGGACTCCGTGTCGGACAGATTCATTAAAATAACAGAAAACATCCACCCAGCACCAGCGGAGCTGAACCAGTGAGAGCCAGCGGCACCGTGGCTGTGCTAGTTCCAGTCAAAGTCTGCAGCTGGGATGCGGGGGAGGCCGTGGGAGAAATCAGACCCAGAACAAAGGTGCCCCCTGACCAAGAAGGGGGTACAGCCAGCCTTCAGGGCTCCTTACTGACTGAGCCTGTCTCCGATTTTTAGAGAGAGTGGGTGGGAGGGGGAGAGAGAGAGAAACATCGATGTAAGAGAGACACATTGATTGGTTGCCTCCTGCACATGCCCTGACCAGGGCAGGGGATCAAGCCTGCAACCATGTGCATGCCCTTGACTGGGTTCAAACCTGGGACCCTTCAGTCCACAGGCCGACACTCTAGCCACTGAGCCACACTGACCAGGGCTCTGGTTGAAATCATTTTAATGCTTACATCCATGGCTGAAATAATCCATGTGTTAACCAAAGTAAATGCTCAGGAATCTAACTGTGAACTTGGGGAGACTGTGGGTTGGGATGAGCAAGCTGCCCCTCGGTGAGGTTCGGGGCAATGGAGGCCGTGCCCAGCTCTCTACACACAGCCCTTGGCTACCCAACGGACACGTGATTTGTTACGGCTCCAGCTGCATCGCCACCTGACGGAGGTTGGTGCCATGACTCCCTCCTCACAGATGAGGAATGAGGCTCAGGTAGGTGAAGAAATGCACCCAAGACCACAGAACTAATCAGTGGCTGGGCTGGGACCCCCACACCGCACCCTGCCAGACCCCAAAGTGTAGAGACCGCACCCGCCCAGAACACGCAGGCCTAACTACCAGCCAGGGCTTCTCGGTCCCTGAGGGAAGCGCGCCCTCGCCAAGACCGACTAGAAAAGTAAGGCTCTCCGGTTTCCTCTGTATGAAGTCACAGATGAGGAGGAATCGAGAAGCCACGGGGTTCTCTTTGAAGTGATCTCGGCCGTAGTAGGAAGAGATGAAAGGTGTCATTTGAAGAAGAGTCTGTGGGGACTGCAGCCTGGAGTTCCCTGGAGCAGCTTCAAGAGGAAGTGCTTCACCTGCCGCCAGGTGGGTGGCGGGAGGAGGCTACCTGGCAGCCGAGGCCCCTGCAGCCTGGGGTGTGTGTGGAGGGGGAGGGGGGCAGGGGCGTAAGAAGCATTGTTCAGGCCGGATCCCTACCCAGCTCTGCCACCTGTGGTCTGACCTGGGGTCTGGCCTCTCTGACCTCCTCTCCTCACCTGCAGATGGAGATGACGCCTGCCCACCTAACTCAAAGAACCAGCGATGGAAGGAGGGCAGACACTTCCTGGATCAGACGGCCTGCAAGGATGTGGAGGTTGGGACCAGCGTGATACACTGTCCCAGCAACAGCAGGGGGACTCCTACCTCCAGGGCCTCCCACCCAGGACTGCGGAGTCTTGGGGTCAGGTCAGGGAATGGCGTGGAGGAGACCCCACCCATCTGGGGGGAGGCCGGCTACGCCTGGGCTCCCACAGGCTGGACCCCAGGGGCCTTAAATACTGACAGTTACCGAAGACAACACAGCAGAGGGGACTCCCAGCCCAGAAGGCTCCTGCCTTTCACATCGCAGGCCTGGAGCAGCCGCGTGGCCCTGGGACAGACCGAGGCCATGCTGGCTGTGGGACTGGCCCCCACTCCGCGCTGGTGGGAGATGACAACCACCCCAAAGACACACACCTCCCAGAACCGCACCTGCTGGCCTCCTGGCTAGCGTAGAAGGCACGCCCAGGTGGCATGCCGCTGCCGACCACTCACCCTAACAGCCACACACGCCAGGGCACCCTGGACAGCCACCAAAGAGAGGGAGGTGTCCGTTGTAATGAGACAGGCCGAGCCCCCTTTTAAGGGAAGGAGCGGAGGGAACCCCGTGTTTGGGGTGTGTGTGTGCTGGGCCTTCCACTGCGAGGAGGCTCGGACTGCGTTCCCGTCACACTCTCTGAACTTGGAGCATGTGACACACTGTGGGGTCAAGAAACGAATCTGTGTGCGGGTGTGAGAACGGGCACTCGGAGCGGGGTCTGCGGGAGAGCAGAGCGCGGGGTCAGACAACCTGTGTCGCTGGGCGGCCGCCTCCTGGGCCTGCTCTTAGAAAGCAGAGCTCCGCCCGTACAGGTCAGTGTGAGACGGAACAGAAGCACCCTGGGCCTGGCATCTACGCCGCCCACACATGCTTGCTCCTCATCAGGAAACAGACTTTAAGCTTCAGGGAAGGAACACCGAGGCCCCGCACGCTCCCTAGGAAGGAGCTGGCGAAGGCGGGGCGGGAAGACGCCTGCTCGAAACCACGGAAGTCGTGTGTTTGTTTAGCAAACAGAGAGCTCTCTGGGCCAAAGGCTCCGTGTGTGGTGGTGTGGCCCGTGTTCCCCACTTCACTTCCGCCAGTGCCTCAGGGTGGGTGAGGTCAACGTGCTTCGCCAGGAACTCAGAGTCACCCACAGGTTTCCCCCACGAGCAGGAGCCAGGACCCCCAGGAGCCAAGTTCAGTGGAGCCCGAGTTGGGAGATGTGTGCTGGCAGCGCCCTAAGCAATACACGCTCAGTCTTGCATCATTTTTTAAAAAAAATCCTCACCCGAGGATATTTTACCATTGATTTCAGAGAGAGGGAGCGAGGGAGAGACACATCGATTGGTTGCCTCCTGCACACGCCCCAACCGAGCCAGGAATTGAACCTGTATCCCAGGTATGTGCCCTGGTGCCCGGACCGGGAATGGAACCTGTGACCCTTTGGTACTCGGGCCGATGCTCTAATCACTGAGCAACACCAGCCACAGCTGTCTCTGCATCTTCACAAAGTTCTGGGGCCTCTGCTCCTACAGACCCTCCGCTCCCAAGACCTGCCAGTGTCTCTCAGGGAGAGCCCAGGGAGACCCGTCGACGGTCACACCGACAGGCAGCAGCCGGAAGCGATGCCTGACATTCCACTCGGCTAGGGACGGCTCACGGGAGCTTCTCCTTTAGTCCTCACTGTTGCCCCACTGTGCAGCCCAGAGAGGGTGAGACGCGCCCAAGGTCACCCGGCTGATTCTCCCCCACCCCCAGCTGCTGGCCTCGCTTCCCAGACCCTGACGTGTCCCCCTTGCTGACAGTCATCCTGGTGCTAAAGGTGTCCCAGCAATGGCAGGGGGACCCCTTCCCAAGGGGCGGCCCAGGGGACTCCTTCTCAAGGGATGGCCCCGGGGACCCCTTCTCAAGGGATGGCCCCGGGGACTGCGCACAGACGGGTGGTCCCACAGTGGGCCCTGGGCCCCACGGCATCAGCATGGGGGGAACGTGTCAGAAATGTGTATTCTCGGGCCACTCCAGACTGGACAGAACGGACACTTCAGGGTGGCCTGTGATCTATTTGCCTGCATTTAGCACATCCACCAGCGTGAAAACCGCCCCCCGAAAGCGTCGGAACTATAATTCCTGGACCCAGTGCTGCTGTTGCTGCTGCTGGAGGAAGTGCCCCTCCCACCGGCTGGCTTTTCTGCTCCGTGGTGGGCAGGACACTGTCCCAGCCTGTCTGCGCCCCCTCCCAGGCCCTGTGCACACAGCCTGTGACACTGCAGGGACTGGGGCAGCAGCAGAAGGGAGGTTGCTAACCATTGGACCTTAAGGCAGAGAGTATCTGGATTTCTCACCTCTGACGGTAAGAGAATGAACCTGTGTTGTTTCAAGGAGTAAATATGAGTAGTTTGTTACCGCGGCCAGAGGGAACTCTTACACCCTATCCCACCGTCTCCCACTGTCCAGTCCTGGGAGAGGCCACAATGCCAATGCCCTCCAGTGGGGACAGCAGTGCCCACGCTGGACGGATGGGGGTGCCAGACGGAGCTGGAGACAGTGAGGGGCACTTCCCCACACGCCTGGCTCACCTCAGGCCGATTTACGGATTGCTGTTCACCACCTCCAGGCAGTTTTCCTGGAGGACCAACTCCCTCCGAGGCGTCTAACAGGATCAGAGCGAAACCCCAGTGTCTGCCTGCGGGTGATACTCACTAGTGTATTTGCTTAAATGCCTACATCCCTCAACCAGACCAACCAGTGCTACAGAGCTGCCTCTGTGGGGCCACCATGCCCGGGTGGGGGAGAGTGGGAGGACCAGGGCCCTGAGGGTGGCAGAGGGGCTGGAGCCAAATCTCAGGGTGCACAGGGACCCCAAGGGCCCCTCCTCAGGAGATGAAGCCTCTCCTAGGAGCACAGGGCAGGGTTTGCACGTGGGGGTGGGCTGGTGGCCCGGCTGAGGCGGCCTCACAGGCTCAGCGTCTCCTGGGGTCGTCGGTGCACAGGCAGTGTCACCCATGTCTCCCAGAGGTCCCAGCTGGCCAGGGACTGCCTTCCTGTGAGGTCATGCTTGCTCAGAGGTGAGACTACACCGGGAATGCCATCTGCAAATACACCAGCTCAGTCACACCCAGACCGGCGCCCTTCCCAGAGCTGCACCCTCCCACACACACAGCGGCCAGCCGGGCCCTCACCTGGCTAGAGCTCATGCAGCACCTTCAGCCTCCACGCCCCTCTCTGAGGGGGAGTGGGTGTCCTCTGCATGGAGAACGTTTTACGTTATCAAAAGTGTGCACATGAGCATGCATGTGTGCGTGTGTCTGTCTCTATGTGTGTGTGTACGTGTGTCTGTCTCCCTCCGTGTGTGTGAGAATGTGTCTCTGTGTGCATATCTTTGTATTGGCGTGTGCACATTTGTGTTCATGTATGTGTCTGTCTGTGTGTTTGCACGTGCGAATGTGTCTGTGTGTGCAATGTTTGTATTGGCGTGTGCACATTTGTGTTCATGTAT